TCACTAGTATTTCGCTGGGCTCCATCCGAAACTGCGTGTTCTATAGACTCATACATTTCCTATGATAGAGCGAGCCAGTTCACAAGCACTGATGATATCACCTCGGCTGGTGATGAAACCTTTGTAAACAAATTGCCAAGTTCGGCGAACAGGCGAAATGGAATAGAGCGAAAAGGCATTCATCCGGACACTGGCGGCGATTATTCTATCTTTCTCCATACAGGTTAACAACCAAACATCACACCCTTTCAGATCACTCACTTGTGCGAAACGAAACTGAATCAATTAGATCGTTGGTATGGCAACTCGGCTTGTCAACAGTACAACGTTAGAATCTTTTGATCATCGTGGTAAAGAACCGATAAACTTTCACTTAAAGGTGAATATAGATATATATATTTCATAATAAGTAGTGTATAAATGACTGGACAAAATTTCCCTGGAAGCAGACGACCGGTCTCGCGGTTCCTGCCGCTCGTCAGATATGCGTATCAGGTAATCTTTTGTCAGTTCATTTATATACTTTTACTCGGGAAGTATATTTTCGTCACAATAACCCTGTTTGCAACACCGGGTAATCATTGGGTAGACAGCTCTTTCAGAGCCAATCCAATGAAGAATCAGTGCTATGATTCGATGTTTTGTAAGTGGGTTAGATGCTACTAACCGCAACAAACGTGACCTGATGGTCTTGGTAGAATATTTCATAATAAGTAGTATATATATATATATATATATCATTGAACATGCATGGTACCAGTGCAACAGCAGTAATAACAGAGGATGGGGGTATTGGGGTAAAAATAGTGAAATGGAAATCAAATAAAATTACCATAGATTAAGGCAACAAGAAAAAATGTCCGATTAACCAGAATCACGGACGAAGTCGAAAACCGATGGAGGATAAACAGCTTCAATGTATTAAAAGAATTGAGCAAGATCTCTAAGAGATAGTGAAATAATGTTCTGTCTCCAATATGGTAACGGTCTTAACGACCGCAGAGTTGTAGAAAAGCATAAAATTCAAACAAATTCCCCCTAGTGTAATTGTACAAAGTCAAACACTTCTCGAAATCCCCGACCAAATAGAATCGATCACAAACTGCATCATTTCAATCGAAAGTGAAACCGTTGTAACTTTAAGTGAATCCGAAAATCGCACTCTATTAGGGATCCCGCAAATTGGTTGGTTCATCGGCCGTCACAATTTACCTATTGGTAAAGACCGTCCGGCCGTAATGAAGTGATTTCTCTATGACCAAGCAAAAGTACTTATGATTAAAATATCGAACAATGGTTCGATGAGGTGGGAGGGGGTCCGACTGTTAGTCACCCACCAGTCCAGAAATGTTAAGCCCTTGGCCGTCGATCGAGTGGGCTTTGGACAAGAATGAACAAACTGACCTCGATGAAAATACGAATCACGTCACAATTGATCGATAAATCGGTCAGGAGACTTAAGTGTGAATGTTAGTATGATCGGGTTCAGCTTTGGGCGATGGTGACCCGGTGGAAATGTCACCAAGTCATCACCCGGGTGGACTTGTGTTCGGATCTCACCACCACCACCTGACTTTCCCCATTGTACGATTTATGACAGACCCTTGATCGGTCGCTCCGCCTTGGTGTATTGTGCATGCAATAAAAGGGAATCAACAATGAAGAATAGTTAAAAAAAGCTTAGGTCATCAATAAACCATTGATTATATTTTATTGAGTCTGAGATTCCTTTGATTTTCACCTTCTTTTGAACCAAATAAGGTGTTATATACATATACATATCTATCATCATCATAATTAGTATGTGAATGACTGGACAAAATTTCCCGGTTTTGCAGTCCTTGCCGCTCGTCAGGCATGCGTATCCTGACAAAAGATTACCGGATATGCATGCCTAACAAGCGGAAAAGGACCGCGAAACTGGTCGTGTGCTTCCAGGGAAAGTTTGTCCAATCATTCACGTACTAATTATGATGAAATATTCTATAAAGACTATCAAGTCACGTTTGTTGCGATTAGTAACATCTAACCCACTTACAAAAACACTGAATCATAGCATCGATTTTTCAATGGACTGGCTCTGAAAGAGCTGTCTGTCCAGACGTCACCCGGTGATGCAAACAAGGTTATTGTGTCGAATATATATATATATATTGTGATGACTGACAGAGAGCATTGGTTAGCTGTTTCGTTCTGCTTTGGACTCGTCAGCAGTGCGTACCTTTTGTGTCCCAGTCAGGACTCGAACCGCGAACATTCGGATCGGAGCTTCAAACTATGGCAATTAAGTGCATTCAACTAGTGGGCAATAAACGATTTCCCAAAGAGTGAAAGCCAAGCCAAGACCATCAAGAGTGCCTCGTGAATCTGAAAAATGGAATGGGTTAGGCCAAAACTTGATTGTCTAAACAGTTCCACAGAGCACATTTCAAATAGAACAAGGAGTGGCGAACAAGCTCGTTTTCAGTGATTCGTAGTCATGCCAAATACATCATAATAAATATTACGCTGTTTATATATGAATCGGTATTCAACCATAAATCTTAAACAAATGTTTCGGGAAAGGGAAAATAACCTCATGGGTTATCCGGGGCTAAGTTCCTCTTGGTACCGGATATGGAATTCTCAATGATCACATAATTGTGACCGAGGCATTCCGTCCTCTGTATCGGGTTTGTAGTCGATTATCAAGGTAGGTTCGTTGTCGTCTGCTAGCCACGGCGGGAGCGGTAGGAATTCGGTTGCACCACTCCCCTCTGTGTGCCCAAAAACAATTTGTGCTGGCGCTTAAACTCCCCTGGCCCACCCCCTACACACCCCATATTCCGAGTGATCCCGACGATCGGATGACCTAACAATTATGTGATCATTGAGAATTCCATATCCGGTACCAAGATGAACTTAGCTCCGGATAATCCATGAGGTTATTTTCCCTTTCCCGAAACATTTGTTTGCGTTTTTATGGTTGAATACTGATTTATATATAAACAGCGTAATATTTATTGTGATATATTTGGCATGACTACGAATCACTGAAAACGAGCTTGTTCGCCACTCCTTGTTCTGTTTGAAATATATATATATAATTTTTGGATTGAACGATACAGTTGGCAAGAGACTTAGCAATGGTTATCAGATATCGAGAATAAATTAGTAATACGTTGCCGAATTATCAAAACTTAATTTGAATTCATTTACAGCTTACCTTAAATTAAATTTCGTGTTACCACTCCGGGATGGACCGCTATATACTACTCGAAATGCTGATGGTAACCACCTGATACCTCACTTCGTTATTGAGCTTTGTCGTATCCCTATTGTATCGATTCGCACCCTAGCAGCATCTTCTAAGAACTTAACTACATTTTCTCGATCCTCTTAGTTCAATGATAACAGTACAACACAGTTAGCAAGGATAATACGAATGACGTTAACGTTGAACCGGGTGCTTCATTTGGGTACTTATTTGAAATAAGTACCATATTCAATCAACGGTTGTCTTATTCTTCATCAGCGACTTCCACATATCTATGGATGAGTTCTCTTCTTGGGAGAATGTCTAGAGAGTATTGTCTACAGAAAAAATTGTTGCGAACTCAGGTGGGACAAAATTCATTTTGATTTAACTCAATGCAAAATGAAAATAAGTCACTTGCAGGAATCATGGCTGATAACAGATAGGTCGTTATCATTCCGTCTGAGTTCATCATTTCTGAAATGCAAAGAGTTCACCAATTTAGAATAAAAGTGATTGCATGCTTCAGAAACCTGTTGTCGTGATTAAGCTGCAAAACACTGCTTTTGTATTTATGACATTGTAGGAAATCCGTTCAGAAGAAAACTTCAGACGTTAAGATTGTAGACACTGAGAATCCAAAGATACGATTTTGTAAATGTAGTCGATATTTTTCTTTAGATACTCACTTTTCCAGACGTATATCTATAAGTGCTTTTCAGTACAATAAATATGTAAGGGATTCAAAGCCTCCGGACTCAAAGTGTGCTGGAGTGAATCCCCAAAAGAACACGCGGCCATTGTTCACATCTTGTTCGGTCTAATTTGTATGTTGGCTATACAACTGAAGTAATAACGAATACCCACTGAAGGAATCTTTCGAGACGTCTATAGTGATTGAGAACTCACTCATTTGAACTCACATTCCGTGTTTTCTCATGTGCTTGTAACTACGGTAAACACTGTCTTGGCTGGAGTAAGAGTTATGACCAAATTGATTAGGGGGTTTGAATTCACTATAACAGCTGCCTGACTTATGATAAAGTTACTCCGGACAGAATTACAACAGAAACATGGCCACACCGGTAGTTGCATCATATTGGGTAACGACAAGCTTTCAACCAAGTTTTACGAATGAGAATAAACAACCCATAGGACTTAAGTCACTCGAGAAACGTTCGCAGCTTAGCAATTATGACCTGGACGATTTCCATTTTACCGTATTTTCATGTAATAAGCGTTCCTGAGTTTTGTGTCTGAGTTAACCACGATAAACCGGAATCCATTTCTCGCGTGGATCAATTGCGTTCAGTAGCTATGACGATTTAACCAAGCGGATTCCCATACACACACTCGAGGCGCTACCTGCATTAGTCAAACGTGGATTGGGTACACCGTGCCTTGCTGGACAGCGATCGAACTTATCAGCGTTGCCAAATGCGTGGGACATGCTTCATGCCCGGCCCAACACTCGGAACAGGCTTGCGCGCAAACAGTTCACACCCGCCTACACTGGTCTTCGCCATATGTCGTTCGTTGTATAGACAGGCGAACAACACAGACAATGCAGATTAGATTCAGGCATATCGACCGACAGCAAGACAACCAATCAGAAACAAGCTGCGCTTGATGGCCTGTCGATTGCGAACAGACAGCCCAATGGAACACCCTTATATAGGGCCAGCCGTTGCGATCGACCGCAATCTGTTTGAATCCGTCCGCTCTCCGGTGTAGTGGTCGTACCCATTCTACTTTCGCTTTCATCATGGTGAGTTGGGTGCAATTGTCGTTATCTCTTTTCTTTTAGCGCGAATGTATCAGTGTTCATGTTGGTCAAGCTGGTGTCCAAATGGGCAATGCCTGTTGGGAGCTTTACTGCCTCGAACATGGCATCCAACCCGATGGTCAAATGCCAAGCGACAAGAGCATTGGTGGTGGTGATGATTCTTTCAACACTTTCTTTAGCGAGACTGGTGCGGGTAAACACGTCCCCCGTGCCGTTTTCGTCGATCTCGAACCGACGGTTGTTGACGAGGTACGCACGGGGACCTACCGTCAGTTGTTCCATCCTGAACAACTGATCACTGGAAAAGAGGATGCCGCAAACAACTACGCTCGCGGCCACTACACCATTGGAAAGGAGATTGTGGATTTGGTTTTGGACCGGATCCGTAAATTGGCTGATCAATGCACTGGATTGCAAGGCTTTCTCATTTTCCATTCATTCGGTGGTGGGACAGGTTCTGGATTTACCTCGCTTCTCATGGAGAGATTGAGTGTTGATTATGGCAAAAAATCGAAGCTCGAATTTGCTGTTTACCCCGCCCCTCAAATCGCCACCGCCGTGGTTGAACCGTACAATTCGATTCTGACAACCCATACTACGTTGGAGCACTCGGATTGCGCCTTCATGGTGGACAATGAGGCTATCTACGATATTTGCCGGTAAGTCGCAGTTGGTTTTCTCTAACCTCCACATTTAGTCGCAATCTCGACATTGAACGTCCGACGTATACCAATCTGAACCGTCTCATAGGACAAATCGTTTCATCGATCACAGCGTCTCTTCGCTTCGATGGCGCGCTGAACGTAGATTTGACGGAGTTCCAAACCAATCTGGTGCCATATCCGCGTATCCACTTCCCGTTGGCTACCTACTCACCCGTGATTTCTGCTGAGAAGGCCTACCACGAACAGCTGAGCGTTGCGGAGATCACAAACGCTTGCTTCGAGCCGGCTAACCAAATGGTGAAGTGTGACCCTCGCCACGGAAAGTATATGGCCTGTTGCATGTTGTACCGCGGTGATGTCGTTCCGAAGGACGTCAACGCTGCCATTGCTACCATCAAAACGAAGCGTACCATTCAGTTTGTCGATTGGTGCCCGACTGGTTTCAAAGTGGGCATTAACTATCAGCCACCCACTGTCGTACCAGGCGGTGATTTGGCCAAGGTTCAGCGCGCTGTGTGCATGCTAAGCAATACCACTGCCATCGCCGAGGCTTGGGCTCGTTTGGACCATAAATTTGATCTGATGTATGCCAAGCGTGCTTTCGTCCATTGGTACGTCGGTGAGGGTATGGAAGAGGGTGAGTTCTCAGAAGCTCGTGAGGATCTGGCCGCATTGGAGAAGGATTATGAAGAAGTTGGTGTTGATAGCGTCGAGGGAGAAGGTGAAGGCGAGGGTGAAGAATACTAATCTTGTTGCTCTTTGTTAACGTTAAATAAATTTGTTGCCATCTTTCTGCGCTTGTTTTACTTGGGCGAGGGGCGGGTGAGTTGGAGGTTATCGCTTTTGAGTCGATGGTGGCTGTGAGTTCTGTGGGTCACTGGTTTGCTGGCGCCACTTACCTGTTCAGCTGTCTTGCGTGTGCGGTGATTAATTCGGTCTTGTACCAGTTGGCTGGGGGTGTAGTTGGATAGGGTTGTCCCCTCGGGTCACGCAAAGATGCTGATTTTCTGTCCCATGAGGCTGGGAGAAGCGTTAGCAGAGCAGGCCGAGGTATCACGATGGCATGGTAATTTGCGAACCTGTTAGCTCGAGAAGTACGGAGCCTCGCTGCCTTTGAAATGTTTAGGGCAGTGCCGTGGCCCGAAATAAACGGGTAATATCATCGTCAGTTGGCCTTGACCGCAACGGGTGGTCGATCGAGTATCGATGCACAGCGACGCGGAAGCCACTGTCGCGTTTGATAGGATACAGGACAGACGATCTGTATTATTATGATTATTGTTCCCCGTTCGGTTGTCTCCAAAATGCTTTTTACATTTTCCGTTGCTGCCATAAACTCCACGTACTATTCAGGGACGTTGTCGGTGCTGAGCTTACCTCGCTCGCTCTATCGCACCGTTTTTTCTATCCAGCTATCTAATCTCTGTCCCTGCTACCTGAAACCTATGCCTCTGCACCTTCCACACGCATAATTATTTTACTCTTACAGATAAACTAGAAATGGCAAGAAAAAGATTATTTCATCTGAAAACACCATCAAGAATGCATGGCTATTGGTTGGACTGCCTGGACGGTGCACGCACATAGGTTGTGGGGTTTGTCAGTAGATATTTTGGGATATTTGAGTAAGCGTCATCATGCCATTTCCCCATCAATCAGGCATATTGAACCAGATGGATGTTAAAAGCTGGGTACCACTGACAGGCTTCATCATTTATTTAATTACGAGCCAAATTTGTCTGTCTGCTGAAGTCAGAATTTTGTGCACGCATATTATATATATATTATATCAATGTCTCTTAGCAACCTTTAAAAATACTGTTTATGTCAGTGAAAGTGCATTTTATTTTGTTGCAACATCGTCAGTCAGATATCAGTCAATGCTCCGGCTTCACTGTCCTGACTACTACTAGCTATTATCCGTCAACACTTATGTCGGCAATCAACAATTGCTTTATTTGCTTCCCTCGTTTTCCACGGTTTCGGTGATCGCTGGCTAAAGAATAGTTGCAGCATTGTTCTTATTGTCAACACTGCACTAAAACACTGAGCACGCCATAGTAGCGTATATTACGCAAGGACATTTAGCTGTTGAGTTCTGTCGGCGATTCTCTGAGTCATTAACTTAATCCATTGCGGCCTGTTCTGTATCTTGACACGTGACGGCTAACAGTAACCTACTTCCACTAATGGCTCCGAGCATTTGTAATCGAGCGATCACCTATTGCAGTCAAGGTCAACTGCCGAGGCCATTCGTGTCTGTCGGTCCATTGACTTACCATATGCAGTGCAACCGGCCTCGTCGCTTGATTTATTGCGTATAAATCAGTTTACAATTTGCATAAGCCTGCGCAAAACTATAAATACTTCCCGGCCGATCTTAGCCCACGTAAATTCTCATTAATCTTGACTTTTTCTTATACATTATGTCACTGAGCTCAACACGAACCATACTAAGCCGGGAAGGAGCGAGCAGATATCCCCCCCCCCACGGTCGCGCGTATGTCACTACAGCGCTTCCCCAAATGACATATGTACTTAATAATCATCTTTCGTTTGTTGAAGTATCAATGAACAGAGCATGACTAATGTGATGATTTCTTGACATTCAATGCAATTCCTTACAATAAACAAATAGAAAGGAAAACTTTTTAAGCTTTTTCGTTGACACCTTGAGAACTTTACTGTTGACTGTACCATTTCATGTTAAAGAATTCGGGCTAAACCAAGTTTACATTCGGTGGCATATAATAGCATTTTATTGCCAAAGTTATATATTCGCCTTAATAGCCAGGCTCGAACTATGCAAAGCATATTTGGAGTCCATGGATGGAGGCGAATCTCCTCGATGATCATGACATTTTCACAATTAGAAAACCCAACTCGGCCTCATTACAAAACTCAAAGTACGTATTTTGTTCATCATTAACGTTCATTGTAGAGCAGTCTGTTCTTCTTACGCAGTACTCGCCTGTAATCAACTAATTTTTTTTCAAAAATACTTTGACTAAATGAATTTGATCTGGTTTTCCTCTTCGATTTTTACTGCATACATCTCTAGGTCGTTGTATCTGTTCTCTCCCGTCTGTTAAAGCGGATTAGCGGAGCTGGGTGATTTAAGATCACCACGATCTCCGTGTAGATCTAATTTATGCGCACTCCGTAAATTTATCTCTGCTTTTCCATTAATTCTACACATTTTTCGGTGGTCGACAAGATGGATAGATTAAAACCACTAACGGAAGTACTGCAGACTGATAATGTGACACGCTCTGGTCTGCCCGGTCCGCATGTAGANAATGCCTGGTAGAAGGTAATAATTGATTGAAGCATTTAATTCTGCTTTTTGAGTTCGAATCCATCAGGACACTCAATATCCTAATGTTGCTTCTAAAAGCTAGGTTTCTTGCTTTGTTTATGATATAATCACTTACGGTGAAACTTGGTCATTTCAACAAGTGCATCAGCTGATACTTTACTTTCGCACATGAAGTCTTTAAGATTTCTGGTACCCTCAAGCATAGCAAGAAGAAGATAGTAACCGATGTGGATAATGAGTAAGGATCAAGAAGCACGATCGTAACTGATGCACAAAATTGCACTTTCAATCGTACGCTGGAATCTCCTGTCACCGATACGCAAGAAAAAGGCCACAGAAGTATCAGTGCCTTTATGAAGAAACCAATGGGATTAAATAATATGCAACTAGAAATGCAATGGGTCAAACGCATGATAACTAATCGCCGTCTTTAGTCTTCGACCCTGATGGTTGTTGAATGATCGATGCTGTTGATCTATGGCCAGATGTCCGGAAACTGGAACGCGTAGGTCCTTGGCTGGCGTCATCTCGAAAGCCTGACCCATAAAAAATTGTCAATAAGTTAAGGAAATAACATTAAATTTATCTTGACCAACCAGTAGTTATTCCTTATTGCGAATCCGATGAACGAGAGAACCACACTATGAACCATCGTGGAAATTTAATAGTTGAATGACCTGTCTTCATAAATGAATATGATTCAATAAACAATACAACTATGACTATCTGTTTTCAGTTCTAATTATGCTCCATCTACTCGGCAGATTCTAAGTAATGGATCGAATCATCTTCCACCACAACCGAACCATTGCATTCACGTTTTGCACAGCTTTTGTAGACAGAGGACAGTTCTCAGTTGGCACGTCTCAAAAGCAGTCAGACAGCTGAGTGTTCAACGAGTTTTTCTCCCAGCGACTCCAAGAAATGAACTGAAAACCACGACTTTGCAGCTTGATAGTGCCTCTATGCAATTAGCAAGTCTCTCAAAAATGTGATTGTTGCACAATTATAATCGGTAACCTAAGTTTACGTTGTGTGTGAATCATGAGTAATAGATGCTAGTGTGTTTTGTACCCAATGAGACAGTTTCACCGTTGTACTGGAATGTTACTTGTATTTCGCACTCGCAGAGGCTGCTTTTCGAGCCTAAATCAATTTAGCAAAACCATAATCATAGTACTTGATTTCTCTATACGACAAGGAACAGCATCACCACCAATTTTATCGACTTGGGTGATCCCGGTAACGAGGAATTGCAGAAAGTCTAGACGAAATCAACAGCATTCCATGCACTATATTAGGATTATTAATCTTGGATAGTTGTGGCACATTGACGGAAAGAAGGAAATTAATTTGATTGACTTAACAGCTTCTTGCTACAGTCAATGGACGCGGGTCTTACATTTACACAATAATTCAGTCCAGCAGTGTAGACTGAAACTTTTCAAAAATCCATGGAAATTTTGTTTTCTGTTTACACCCTGAGACAGGCTTTATTCGTCACACAATGCACTGTACGCACTAACGCACCGGACAAAACATGATTCATCCCCAATGCCTCGTGTGAACGGAATCTATCGATCTGCCTTGGGTTTTGTCGCGTCCTGCCATTCCAAAACCGACCAACTCATCGATCGAGTGAGTCGGCCCCAGGGTAGAAAGCGTGCCGTGGGGTTAGAAAATGAAAGGTAGGTGAACAGACAGACTACTTCCCCCGGGAATGTGGACAGACAACCAGCCTCGTATTAGGCCAGGGGTGAGGGGTTGGCATGGTGTTGCCCAACTTGATTCCACGTGAGGAAGTCCGAGGGAGAGAGAACGGAGCATAAACTGCTACCCAAACTGTCGTGACACAGTTGATTGGGGGCCAATCCGGCCTAAGCAATTGCCGATATCAATCAGCTCCTCAACCAGTTGCCACTGCTTACATGCGTCACACGGAATAACTGCATCCGGGTTGGAAGCATTGTTTTTTTTCACAAAGCGCTTTGTAGAGTTTGCTAAAAACCATTCTCCCCTCACTGAACTGTCATTGAGAACGGAGGTGACTAAATTATTCATAAATTTTCAATAAAATATGGAGTCTACAAAACTGACTGTTCAGCTTTCAATATTTTGTTGAACTGTATGAAAGGTTTGATTTAGTATAGGCCCTACATAATCAGAGGGAATACGTTTGCTGTAGAAGTTTTCAGGCTCGAACCGAATAAATGAAGCGCTAGATACTCTTTTTTTCGGATTCAAATGGCACAGAGGATTCGGCGAACATACAGCATCGTAGCGTGACATGCATGCACATAGGTTAATATTGCCTGTATCGTAATAATTACTTGATCACTTGATCCAGCAGCTGCAACAAGTGTTTGAAACAATGAAACTGTACGCACGGTCTACAGTGTCCGTGAAAGGGAACAGGCTTATACAACCA